AATATATTAAAAATATATTAAAGACAACCCCTCCCCCTTTTTCATGATGGTGAAGTACAGCTATGGAGTCATGCCCCCCTTGAAATGATTGGTGGACTCCCTTCAAAACCTTGTGGGCACACTTTTAGCAACAGAAAAGCCATTCTGAGTATTCGACAAAAGAAGCTTTATTTTGCCGACATCAACAGCTGCCTTGTCCCCCCCCACCCCACCCCCGTTTAATGCTTTGGGGACAGATCATGAACCGAAACGGCAAAAATGAAGCCACTGTTCTTCTTGGAAATACCGCCGGGGATGCCCGAGTGACTTGCTCAAGTGCTTGCGAAGAACAAGGGTTGACGGCTGCGTTACTGAAGGATCGTGTTTCCATAATGTACATTTAGCAGGGACTCATGGAATGCAATGAGAAGCCATCCTGGGCCGGCTGGCATGCTCAGTGAGTTGGAGTAACTTTCGAAGGAGCCAGAGGTTAAGAATTCGAATCCGTATCGTGTGCCTCCTGGGTGGCCTTGGGCCAGCTGCACAGTCCCTGGGCTCCCCCGGAAGAAGTGCATAGGAAACCACTTCTGAATATTCTCTACCTAGAAATCCCTGGAAAGGGTCTCCATAAGTCAGAATTGACTTGACGGCATATACATTTTTATTATTATTATTATGAATTCTCAAAATTTGCCAGCCTCGGAGCTTCACAGAACTCTTCATCATCTAAGATGGGAAAGAACTGGGAGCCAGAAGAATCATACAAGTCCCCAAAGTTGTCCAGGTGGACTCCTTATTTTGTTTTGCAATATGAACTTAATTTTAATTTCTTCTTTGGTTACGTTTGCGTTATTTTATGTTATTGCCACAGTTGTAAACCGCCCAGAGTGAACATCGGTCAGATGAGAGGTACTGAAATTGAATAAATAGGGTTAGGGTAGGAGAAGAGCAGCCAATATGGCCCCTTTGGAATACCATTGAAGGCACAGAGTCATAAAATCACAGAATAACAGCGTTTGGAGGGGCCACGAAGGCCATCCAGTCCAACCCACCCCCTGATCAAGGCAGGAATCCCAATCAAAGCAGGTCGGACAGAGGATTGTCCCGTTTCCTTTAGAATGCTTCTAGCCTTGGAGTGCTCATCACCACTTCCGGAGGTCTTGGGTTGTGTTGTCGTACTGCTCTAACAGTCAGGAAGTTTTTCCTGATATTCAGCTGAAATCTGGCTTCCTGTCCCTTGAGCTGATTGTTGCGTGTCCACTACTCTGGGATGGTGGAGAACAGATCTTGCCCCTCCTCTGTATGACAGCCTTTCAAATACAGTGGTGCCTTGCATAGCGAGGTTAATCCGTTCCGGATTAACCCTCACTATGTGAAAACATCGCTAAACGGAATGTAAAAACCCATTGGAACGCATTAAACTATGCGAGTTTTTGCCATAGGGACCGACGCTATGCCTCCGCATTAGCGATCCCGAAGAAGGGATCGCTATGTGGATTCGTCATTATACGGTGCTCTCATTAAGCGAGGCACCACTGTAGTTGAAAAGTGGTATCCTATCACCCTTCAGTCTTCTTTTCTCAAGGCTAAACATGCCCAGTCCCTCTTTCCTAAGGGCTTAGCCGGGTGGCAGGAGGACCCGTCCACCAAAGTCGGCGAAATCATTTGGATTTCCTTTTTACTGCTTTCTCTCCCTCCCCTTTCTTTTCCTTGCAACGCTGAACAGCAAAATCCAAACATCATCTCTCTTTCTTTGGGGGACTTGTGTTTTCCCTCTGCAGTCGAAAACCAAACTCTGCCTTAGTTATTTTTAAAGTTTTCCATGTTCTGGATGGATTTCCTAACACTCTTTTCTCTCTCTCTCTTTTATTGCTGTACAAATAAACTTCTCCCTTCATGACTTGGAACCTAGTTCTCCTTTTGTCTCTGCTATATATGATAACCAATTTATTCCAAATATGTCTACCTGATTCCTTAGTCCGTGGGCATCCTGGAGCAGCCGACAGAGCTGTGAAATCTTTGCTCCGAGGTTTACCATCTGAAGGAGACACCGCACAAAAGGAAAAAGAGATGGGGAGGGAGAAGGAAAACGAAGACGCTCAAGCCCCGACTAGATTGAACTTCTGCAGAGCAGAAAGTCCTGACAGTTTAGTGAGAAGGGAGTGATGTGCTGTATTTTGCTGACAGCCAAAAAACCCAGGAGATTGCTCGGTCTCTTTGGCTACCATGGGGCGCAGCACAGAATCCAAGCGATGGTCCCACCAGTCAAAGAGACATCCCTCACCTATCTCTCATGTTACATCCCACGTTCATGCAGTTAAAAGTGTTAACATTTTAAAAAGAAAAAGGAATTAAAACTAGGAAAAAGGAAATTCATAGAGTCATAGAATCATGAAGTTGGAAGGGGCCCGTAAGGCTATCAAGTCCAACCCCTTGCTCAGTGCAGGGATACCTATGGAAGGATTTAGACAAAGGTAGATGCCAGCATTGAAGTACCCCCCCCCACTTCCTGAGGTCATGAGTTCCGCTGTCATACTCCTGATGTTTTTCCTGATACTCACCCTCAATCTGGCTTCCTCCCACTCGTTGCGCGTCCGTCCTGCCCTCTGGGACGATTGGGAACAGATCCTGCCCCCCTCCTCTGCAAGGCAGCCTTTCAAGTCTTTGAAAAACGCTCTTTGATCTCCAAATTGAAAGTCTCCAAACCTGATAAGGAGGATGCTGAGTGGGCGCCTCGAGACTGGCAGCTTCGTCCCACCACGTGAGCCTGCCCCAGACCTCTCCTGCACACCTTGCCCCGGGCTGTGGTTGTGAGGATAAAAAGGAGGAAGAAAAGATTTGTGTAAGCTTCTCGAGATCCTCCGTAAAGCAATAAATAACCTCTTTCTCGCTAGCTGGATTCTGGGTGCAGTCCCGTTTGCGATAGGCGGAGGCGGCCATGGAATAAATGTGTCTATACACAGTTTCCAGGTTCAGAGACGCGACAACAGGGAAGGGAATCTGATTTTTGTTGTTGGGTAGAAGGCATGCGGACTGTGCGTGGTCCTTCTCTCTTGTTTCCCCCCCAACCAGCGTCTCTCTGGACCACATCGGCCGACGGGCTGGTCAAACTCCGAATGGACGCCACCTGCCCCCAGACCCCGATGACGGTCCACCAGATGTTTCAAGAATCCCTCGAGAAATACGGGTCGCTCCACGCGATGGCCAGCAGAAAGGAGGGGAAGTGGGAAAAGATTACCTTCTCGGAGTATTATGCCCTGTGCCGGAAAGCAGCCAAAAGCTTTTTGAAGGTAAAGGTTGGACCCCGTGGGTAGAAGGTTTTCCCCCCAATTTGTGGGTCCTGCCCATTTACAGTGGTGCCTCGCTTGACAACGTTAATTCATTCCAGCGAAATTACTGTAGAGCAAAAATGTCGTCAAGCGAAATAAAAAAGGCCATTGAAATGCATTGAAAACCGTTCAGTGCGTTCCAATGGGCTAAAAACTGCTGGTCCAGCGAAGATCCTCCATAGGGGCAGCCATTTTCGGTGCCTGTAGTGCGAAAAATGACTCCTATAAATAGCAGGGAGCCATTTTGAGCAGCCGGCGGCCATTTTGAAAACCTGACAATCAGCTGTTTTGATTGTAGTAATGCAAAGAATCGGTTCCCGAAGCAGGGAACAGATCGTCGCAAAACGAAAAAACCCCATTAAAACATCATTTTGCGATTGCAATTGCGATTGCAAAAACATCGCCGTGAAGCGGATTTGTTGTCAAGCGGGGTAATTGTTAAGCGGGGCACGATTGTACAATGAAAGGTGGGCCATTCCTTACGAGAAAGCTGGAGGAACATTTTCTCCAAGGGCGTGACTCTCGGACAAATCATGGCATTAACCCAGTGAAAGCCCCAAAAGAAAACGGCCGCCCTGTTATGTTTCTCCTGCTTTTTTGACATCTGCAGTTTTTAATTTGATCCCCAAAATTGGAAAGAGGCGGGGGGGGAACTGAGGTTATTAATGGTTATTTAGCTATTGAATAAGAGGATCAATCTAGCTCGGACGAGTTACACTACTCGCTGTCTCAGAATAAATGGTCAAGGAGAGAAAGTACTTGGAAACAGCCAGGAAAACGGAAATCTGCTCTCGTTTGTTACCCGGACTTTTATTTCCTTTTATTTTTTCCCCTCCAAGCTCGGCCTGGAACGATTCCACAGCGTTGCGATTCTTGGGTTCAATTCGGCGGAGTGGTTCATTTCGGCCGTCGGGACAGTTTTTGCTGGGTGAGTTTCGGAAACATTGCACGGGGTGATTCGGAGCCCAAAAGGGTGCACGGAAAACCGTCTGCCACGTCGAAATGAAAACTCAATCCACGCAGGATGAGATGCTCTCCTGGATTCAGAAAACAGTGATTTTTTTCCCCTCCATTTAATTTACCTCCCAGCGGTATCGTGACCGGGATCTACACCACCAGTTCGCCTGAGGCCTGCCACTACATCGCCCACGACTGCAGAGCTAATATCATCGTGGTAGAAAACCAAAAGCAGCTGGACAAAATAATACAGGTAGGAGAGGAGCGTACTAAGGTTCATTTCCTCTGGACGGCCATGTTTTGTTCCGGTTGTTTTTGCACCGGTATAGTAGAGCCAGGGATTTTAGGGTCGAAGCCCCCAGACTTTCTGATGAGTAAGGATCATGCAATCACCTGCCACTGCCTCCAGGCTTTCTGGTTCCCCATGAGCTTGCCCGCAATTAGGGATATTGGCATGTCTTTGGGTCTGAGTTCCAAGTCTGAGTCCAAGTCTTTGGTCCCAAGTCCCCAAGTCCCAAGTCTTTAGTCCCAAGTCCCAATTCTGAGTCCAAGTCTTTGGTCCCAAGTCCCAAAGTCTCAAGTATTTAGTCCCAAGTCCCAAGTCTGAGTCCAAATCTTTGGTCCCAAGTTCCAAGTCCCCAAGTCCCAAGTATTTAGTCCCAAGTTCCAAGTCTGAGTCCAAGTCTTTGGTCCCAAGTCCCAAGTCCCCAAGTCTTTAGTCCCAAGTCCCAAGTCTTTAGTCTCAAGTCCCAAGTCCCCAAGTCTTTAGTCGCAAGTCCCAAGTCCCATGTGTCCAAGTCTTTAGTCCCAAGTCTGTGTCCAAGTCTTTAGTCCCAAGTCCCTATCAAAAACAAGTTTTTCTTCTCCAGAAAAAAAGGGAGGGGGTGAATGGGTTCAGAGTCATTGACAAAACAACCACCCCCGAGTCGAGTCCAAGTCAAATCGCTGGTGAAATTTAAGTCCACCACGAATCCTGCGACTCTAGTCCTCATCCCTGCCTGCCCTCCTCTTAATACTTTGGGGTGTGTGTGTGTGAAATACATTTTCCCAAGAACAGTATATTGTCACAAGCGGTCCCAGTTTTAAGGCAACATATCTGAGAGTGGTTTGGTCGTGACCTGGCCATTAGGAGCCATTAACTTTACAAAAGATCTGCTCTTCCTTTGTTGACCTGGACCCATCCAACTACCTGTTTTTTGAGAGTCCACTTGCTATGGGAGGCCAGCCACAGCGCCCAGCATGCATCTGCACTTCCAGATTTTCCGCTGCGTCACTGCGTTTGTTGCTGTGAGATGTCAAGCGCCACGGAGAATCTTTAGTATAGATTTATGACAGCATGACTTCTCATAGATTGCAATCAGCTCCCTCGGGGGCATTGAATATAATCCTAGAGCTTTAGATGTGTAAGCCAAGAGTGAGCAGCTGGGATCACACCGGGACTGGATGCAAAAATACATGCAAATGTGTGTTATTACACCAGTAGATAATATCCAAAATAAATGCGCAGTGCTGACATGGCTTCAGAGCTTCAAACGGATGGCTTTGACAGCTTCCTCTGACATCCATACTTGTTTCACATTTCTATGGGCATTTCTTTCCCCGCTGTATAGCCCCGTCTTTGCCTCGAAATCCTGTGCGCATCTCGAGTGAAAATATATTTATCGGAACCAAGCGGGGAAAAAGAGCTTTTGTGGGGGACAACATCTCCCAGTATGCCCTAGCCAGCATGGCACATGGAGGATTTTGGGGTCTGTAGTCCCCCAAAAAAGCCGCTTTTAAAATCTCAGCACTTTTTGGCTAGGGGCCGGATGTTTAAATTGAATTGTAGACGCATGTCGATTTATGTGAATGGGCCTGCATGCTTCACATCTGTTTGTTTCCTTGAAATGCTGTGCAGATCTGGGATCGTTTGCCACACTTGAAAGCGGTCGTGATGTACAAGGGCCCTCTGCTTGAGAAACGCCCCGGTTTGTACACGGTACGTAGAAGTGATGATGAACCAGGCAGCTCGTCCCTGCTGACAGTTCGCAGGTTGATTTTTCTGTCTCCCCAGACTTCAGTTGCCTCTCTTATCCTCCCAGCTCTGAAATCCTGAGCCATCGCCCTTGCCAATCAAACCCGTGCTCTCCTGTCAATAGCCAATCACAAAGCAAGCAAAACACTTTTCAGTCTGCGGATCGAGGAAAGCTTGACAAACAGACATCTTTGGCTTTTTGAGGGAGCACTCCTTCTAAGGACGGGCTAAGCGGATCACCCTGTTCGCTCCTGCTCGCGTTGCGCCTTCCACTTCCGTGGCTGGTGGAACCTCGCACCCCTGTTCTGTGTCATGGGGACATGCCTATCTTACGTGTGACAGATTCCTGGGGGGGGTGTCAGCTGGAGGAAAATCCATATGTGGAAGCGCATGATGTTCTTTCTGCTCCTGGATGTGAGCCAGCCTTTGAGAATGGAGGCATTCAATGTCTCCCAGCGTGGAAACCTGATCCTGAGGCAGGAGCCGGCCAAGAAAACAGCACCCGGGCAACTGGGAGCAGGCAGATTAACACTTCGCAGAGCGATGGGGCTTAGTTTGGTCAGGATGACGGCATCGGAGGTGTCAACAGGCTGAGGAACAAATCCTTTACCCATAATCAGAGAGAGAGTCTGTCTCCCCCCCTCTTCCAGGGAGCGCAGAAGACAAAAAAAAGGACATGAGCTCGGAGTGGCTAATATGATTCACCGTAACAGTGAGAACACTACGGAATATATAGTTTAAACTTCCATAATCTACCTTTTCCCAGAGATGTTAGGGTAGAAAATGGCAGCTTTAGAGGGGTCCTTATCACACTGAAATGTGCAGTTTCTTTTATTACTGTTCTTAAATTGCAAGCTGTGGCTAAATGCTCTGATTGCTGCATTTTTCGTGGCCTGTTTAAAAGTCTTTATTTTATTTTTTTAAAAAATCAAAGAACCAGTACAGTGTAGTAGTGGATAAAATTTCAGACTAGCACTCAAGAGACCTGGGTTCAAATCCTTACTTGAACATGGAAATTCATGGTGGCGGGAATTGGCATGGGTCAGACCACTCCTTAAACATCTCTCGCACCGTGAAAAGCCTGTTAGGGTCACCATAAGTCTTGATGGCCAACGATGGGGCATGGATCGGAAAAACGGTGAATCGTTTGGATTCGTGAAGGATGAGGAATCATGAATAACAAATTACGTAATGATTCCCCCCCCGACTAATCGATATTTCAATTCGTCAATTCCTTTTTTACTTTAAAACCTTATAAAATGGCCCACCCGACACCAAAATCATAGGGAAGCTTCCCTTGACTATCCTTTACTATCTCTCCAAGTTTAGTGAAGATTGGATTTTAGACATCTGAGTTATACACCCCAAAAAGTGGGTCCCCTAGGAAAGTGCCCTTTGGCAGCTGGTCGGGAAACCCAATCTTTACCAAACTTGAAGGGAGTATAGAGGAGAATCAGAGGACATTTCTCTCCCATTTTAGTGTCTCTAGGTGCCTGGGGGGGCATTTCATAGCCCAAGAAATCGACGAATCAAAAATTGCAAAAAAATCATCAATTTGTACGCGTCAGGGGTATCGATTCGTACGAATACAAATAGACAAATTAGGAATTTTTGAAGAATTTTGGAATTTGTTTTTAAATTCATGCCCATCTGTGTTGATGACACATAGATCATTTTTAAACTTGTTTTTGAAATTGCTTGATGCTCTCTCTGTCTATCTATCTATCTATCTGTCTGTCTGTCTGTCTGTCTGTCTGTCCGTCTGTCCGTCTGTCCGTCTGTCCGTCTGTCCGTCCGTCCGTCCGTCCGTCCGTCCGCCCGCCTGCCTGCCTACCTACCTACCTACCTACCTACCTCTGTCTGTCTGTCTGTCTGTCTAATCTTTGATATTTTGTTACAGCAGACTGTATAAATATTATAAATAACAATGGCAAGAATGTTTACTGTGACTAATTCAGCCTATTAACAGGAAACATGCTGTTGATCTGCATAACTTCCAAATGAGATGGGATTTGAATTTTGCCTTTTAAGTCTTGGATTTTGTGGTCATGTTGGAATCTGTGCTCAGGGTTCCAATTGTCATTTGATAAGTAAATTCACAAATGAGGTCCAGACAACAATAACAGTACATTAATCAACTTGATTTTTATTCTGGCCACACTCACGGAGAGAACGTGGAAGCTGTGAATGATTCCCCTTCTAGGCTCGGTGTGGGGCAAACTCTGTATGTTGCTCCGAAGCTTTGTTTATGGGCTTTCTCTCCCATTTTGTAGATGGACAAATTTATGGAACTGGGCCACGAGGTAGAGGATGAAACACTTGACGCCATCATCAACTCCCAGAGGCCGAATCAGTGTTGTGTTCTGATTTACACATCCGGAACCACTGGGAAGCCAAAAGGTGCCATGCTGAGTCACGACAATGTGAGCATTAACGTGACGGAAGAGTTTATGCCTGGTTTTTAAATAGATCCAGCTATGAGCTGGAAAGTTACTTTAAACAGAAACTGGGGACAGTCTACAAGGTGATCATGTCTAACTCCCTGGTCAAGGCAGGAGTCCAAATCTAAGCAGATCTGACAGAGGGTTGCCCAATTTTCTCTTGAAGGCCTCCAGCGTTGGAATGCTCCTCATCACCTCCCCCTAAGGTCATGGATTCTGTTGTCGTACTGCTTTAACAGTTAACTCGAAGGCCTCCAGCGTTGGAGTGCTCCTCATCGCCTCCCCCCTAAGGTCATGAATTCTGTTGTCGTACTGCTTTAACAGTTAAGAAGTTTTTTTTCCTGATATTCTGGCTTCCTGTCACTTGAGCCCATGGTTACATGTCCTGCACTCCGGGAGGATCGAGAACGGATCTTTCCCCTCCTCTGTCTGACAACTGTACAAGTAGTCCCTTGATGTCCTCGTTGCAATTACACAAAGTTAAATTTTTTAAATTTTTCCCATTTAAGTCACAGGCAACGGCTTCCAAGCTCAAAAGTTGGATCCAGCATGGCCTTAGGTGGTGTAACAGCCTAAGGACATCTCCAGATTCTCCACCCCTCACCAGGGCTAGGAGTGGTCGCTGAAAAATTTCCCCAAACTTTGGGGGGGTCAGTGTGTTGTGTGGATAGAGCGATGCACTAGTTCTCAGGAGGAGCCCTGGATTCAAATCCCCACTTGCCTGTGGAAACCCGTTGGGATGTGTATGATAAAACACTCCTTAAGCATCTCATGGACCTCCAAAGCTACGTTAGGATCGCCGTACGCTCTTCCTCTGTGCCATTTCTATTTTGGCGAGCCAAACGGATGCTCTCCCCAGTTTGCAAGGAGTCTATTTTTAAGGACTCCTCTCGTTCTGGAAAACATCTCGGTCCTCTCTCTGGGCCACGAGGCTCTCTTCATTTAAAGTGCTGTCCCTGTCTCCCCTTCGGGGTTGGGCCGGGGGCTTAGCCCCCCCTCTACTTGACGGATGATGCATTGAACATGGATTTATGTGCCCTGGAGAGACTCCAAAGCCTTAGATTTAGAAGCAAGCACATCTCTTAACAGCTCTTTCCCTGCTGGTTACATCAGCCGTGGCTTATTCTTTCTTGCCTGGGGAGTCACAGAGCTTTTCCCTTCTTGCCTTGTGCCCATTTTGGTTACAGGTGGCTGTCAGCCGTCTAAAGAGATGGGTTTTCATCCTGGTAGAGGGTGGTTGGGGCCATGGATCACGAGTAGCTGTGGGCCACACAGAGCTTGGGAGAATGAATGAGGTTCGCAGCTTCCTTCCTGCCTGGGGGCCTGCTCCGTTCTCTGACAGCATTAGATCAGGAGAGTAAAGCCAAACAATGTGGCCTAGGGGTTGGAGCGTTGGTCTTGGGTTCGAGAGAGAGGATTTGTCAAAAGAACCGCCGCTCCGCGCCCAGGTTCGCTTCGGCGCGACGTCACCTCTGTGTGCTTGTTTGGACAGATCACGTGGACCTCCGCGCACGCCAGCCGGGCCGGCGACATGCAGCCGGCCGAGATCCAACAGGAGAGGATTGTCAGCTACCTTCCCCTCAGCCACATCGCGGCCCAAATATACGACCTCTGGACCGGGATCAAATGGGGAGAGCTGGTCTATTTTGCTGAGCCAGATGCTTTGAAGGTCAGACCCTGTGGGGTTTCGTGCTGGCTTGGTGAGGTGGGAGAGCCTTTAAATCAGGAATGGCCATCATTGTAGGGGGCGTGGGGGGGTGAGCCTCACCAGCCCTCCCTCAATGTGCCAAGGTGCCCCTCCTGAAACCCAGAGGTGCCCAGAAGCTTACATCAGGTTTCATGGGTGGACAGCTGTGTGTTTCATGGCAAAATGGCCACTCCTGAGAATGAATGAATGAATGAATGAATGAATGAATGAATGAATGAATGAATGAATGAATGAATGAATGAATGAATGAATGAATTTAACACCATGATCATCCTCTTAGAATGGCAGAGCTGGAAGGAGAGCCATAGATCATAGGGTCCAGCCCCTGTCAAGGAGGCCGGGGGGGGGAATCAAACTCCCAATTTCTGCCTCTGCAGCCAGAGACCCTAAACCACGGAGGTCTCCAGCAGCTTATTATGGTCAAAGCCCAACAGCAAACAACTCTCCAGCAGGTTATTATGGTCAAAGCCCAACAGCAAACAAATAGCGCAGGACGAAACAGAAGCAAGCAGGCTATGTCAATGTTGCCAACCACTGCATCCACACAGTATGAAAAATGTATGCCACAGTGATCTGAAACAGGTGGGGAAAAACTACAGGGTGATCAGAAAACTGGGGCGAGCTATGGGAACGGCACAAAATATGGCCACTTTATCAGCCATATGGAGAATATCCAGAAGTATGTGAGGTCTTACTGGGGCTCAAATTTATGTCAATGGGGTGTGGACTTGGGGGTGGTGTCCCTGTAAAAATGGCTTCACCGCAAGACCCCCCCCGAGGCTGCAATTTAAATCCCACCTTCTGGAATCTGGTGGGGCTGAATGATTAGTTTCGCATGGTTTAATCCGTAGTTCCCAACCTTTTTTTGAGCGGTGACCCCTTTTTAATAATAGTCACGAACCCCAGGCTTGGAAGCTTTGGTTTAATGAGTGGTAGATAGTGCAATTGGAGAGAAATGAAGTGAGGCGTGTTGCTTTCAATGGCCATGTGGTTCAGCATGCTGTGGCTGTAACACCCTCTTTTCCCCCCACCCTTGTCAGGGTGGCTTGGTGGACATCCTCCGAGAAGCTCTGCCCACATCGCACATGGGGGTCCCTCGGGTCTGGGAGAAGATCATGGAGAAGATCAAGGAGGTCTCCACTCAGTCTGGGTTTGTGAAGAAGAAAATGCTCTCCTGGGCCATGTCGGTCAGTTTGGAACGAAACCTGAGCTTCTCGAACAGGTAAGGGGCTCAGATGGGAGGGAGGGGGGAGGAAGTCTTTTCTGCATTTGAAAAAAAAAGGAACTTTTTTTGGACTCCGAAAAGTCCAGAATCCTTCATTTGCAATGGAAACTCTCCCAGGTGCTGAACGTATTTTGAGGACAGGATTCAGAACAAGCAAAGTTCTGATAAACTTTGGACTAAAATCCGGAGGACATTGACTACGCCATCCAATTCATCAGCATCTACTGCTTCTGACGAGCAAAAGCTCTGATAAACTTTGGACGAAAATCCGGAGGACGTTGGCTACGCCATCCATAGCATCCAATTCATCAGCATCTACTGCTTCTGAGAGAGGCCAGACTCTCGCTCTCCCTGCTGGCCCTCTAAAAATTAGACAAGGCCTTGTTATCTCCATGAGTATTTGGCAACTTACTGGAAACTGGAGACAGCCTCTGATTTTGTATCAGTGTGCTTTTAAAATTGATTTCACTTTTCTTTTCTTTTAAAAAAACGCTGTGATTTTTCAATATGATTCATGTCGCTGTCTTTTAATCTTCTCACTTATGCCATTTTTATCTGTAACCTTTAACTACAAACTGTATGATAGACGTAGCTAGCTTTTCATTGATTCGAAGAAGATACACCTTTTTCCTCCAGAGACTTAATTCCTTCAAAACTCCATGCCCGAGCCATCCGCTTGCCCATAAAGCGCATGCCTACCTATCACAAAACAAGAACAAGCCCAGTTTTCAACCTTCAGAGCCGGGATAAACCTGTGTTAGGATAAACAGATGTCTTTTCTCTTTTAAGGCAGCTTTGCTTCTAACGACAAGCTAACAGGATCCTATAGTTTTACCTATGAGGTTGACACTTCCTTCCCCTTTTGCATCCTTTCAGTGACTTGAAACCTTTCCGAATGAGACTGGCAGACGCCTTGGTGCTGGCAAAAATCCGCCAGGCGCTGGGCTTTTCTCAGTGCCAGAAGCATTTCTGCGGCGCCGCGCCCCTCTCGACCGAAGTCATGCAGTTCTTCCTGGGCCTGAACATCCCTTTATATCAAGCCTACGGGATGAGCGAGACCACAGGCCCCCACTGCATGTCGGGGCCGTACGTTTACCGACGTTACAGGTGAAACTCCGGTCCCTGAAGAAAGGGGAGACGTTAGGGCTGGTGGGGGGACCAACATTGCCATCCTCCACCATCTGCCACATTTGAGATGATGAAAGTGGACCTCAGGGTCCAGCTCTGCCATTGAGCGACGTGCGGCATGGTGGTAGCCTCGCATTGTCCTGAGGTCCACCGGGAGCATCTCAGATCTTCCTGCTCGCACACGAGGGATGGCTTGTGTTCACTTCTCTTCTCCCCCACAGCTGCGGGAAGGCCGTCCTGGGTTGCAAAGTGAAACTGGCCCACGAGGACGAGGAGGGCCATGGCGAGATATGCTTCTGGGGACGGACGGTCTTCATGGGCTATCTGGACATGGAGGACAAGACCCGGGAGGCCATTGACGAGGAGGGCTGGCTCCATTCCGGAGACCTCGGCAAGATAGACCAAGACGGATTCGTCTACGTCACGGGGAGAATTAAAGGTGACCAGTTCTTGTGCCGTGATTCACCATGTCTACATTCGCTCTTGGCAGACCAGGAGGCACCGAGGCTGGTCAATCATCGTCATCAAGTCAATTCTGACTTACCATAATCCTTTTCAGGGTTTTCCAGCTAGAGCATACTCAAAAGTAGCTTCTCAATCCCTTCTTCTGGGGGTGCCCTGGGAACTCAAATGTGGCTTCTCAATCCCTTCTTCTGGGGGTGCCCTGGGACTGTGCAGCTTGCCCAAGGCCACCCAGGCCGGCTCTCCTCCCAGGAGGCATGGTGGAGAATCAAACTTCCAGCCTCTGGGCTCTGCAACAAGAGACCTAAACCACCAGCCCCTATCCGGCCAATGCTATTCTGCCAGAACGCTCGAAGAATTATCCTGGCCTGCCCCCTTTTGGCAGTTTTGCAGACGGCAGGTCCTTGATACCCTTTCTCGTTTCGGGACGTCGCTCTTCCACTGGGGGATGACATGGGCTCAATGTATGTCTCCTTTCCCTAGAGATCATTATTACTGCTGGGGGCGAAAACATTCCTCCCATCCCCCTGGAGGAAGGCGTCAAGAAGGAGCTCCCACTGGTGAGCAACGCCATGCTGATCGGTGACCAGAGGAAGTTCTTATCCATGCTGCTGACTCTGAAAGTAAGAGATTGGGGGGGGGGGGGGAAAAAAACACCATTTCAANCTGATTCACCAACCGGTTTGATGATCCGGCGGTTTTATTTGACTCTTGAGATAGGTGAACGTCTCTGAGATCTGTCGAGAGATAAATCGACGGACAGACGGGCAGATTAAAAAAAAGAGTTTTGGTGAAGGGGGTCTGTTGTATTAAAAGCCAGAGAAGAAGAATAGAATGGTAGAGTTGGAAGGTACCTCCCAAAGGTCATCTAGTTCACCCTTTGGCCAATGGAGGAAATCTATCGCGGAAGCTTTCTTGACAGGCAGCCTCCTCACCTCTTATTTTTAAAAAATCTAGCGAAAGAGAGCCTGACACTTTTCTGTTTCGCCGTCAAAAACAGCTCTTCCCAAGAAGCTTTTTTCCCCTGGTGTTTCTTCTAACTGGAATCTCTTGGTCCTGGTGGTTCTGCGCAGGTTTTTTCAAATGGATCGTTGTGCTTTGAATGTGTTTTTTTTGATGTTGCCTTTGTTTACTGGGTTTTAGGGCGGTATTTGTTTGACCCCTTTTTAGCATTTGTAGACTTTAAAGTTGTTCGCTTAAAATACGGCCTTTAATGATGTAAGCCGTCTTGGTTCCCTTTTTTTAAAGGAGAAAAAGGAAAGGTAAAAATAATTTAAATAAGTGAAAGGTATGAAGTTTTTGCAGAGCTCAAACCATGCCCCCTTTGGAAGGGGCTGCAGGCCCTGAAATGTCTAAAATGTAAGTTGGTTTTAAAATACTATCAAGCTGGTGCTGTTTTTCTTTTAAGTGCTGTGCCTGGGAGCAGGTGGCGAGAGGAAGCATGGGATAACTCTGTGATCACCAAGAGTGTCTTCCTTTTTCCTTCAGTGCGCCGTGGATCCGGAGACCTCCGAACCCACAGACAACCTGACCCAAGAGGCCAGAGATTTCTGCCAGAAAATCGGCAGCAAAGCCGCGAAAGCATCCGAGGTGGTGAAGCTGAAGGATCAGGCGGTTTACCGGGCCATTCAAGAGGGCATCGACCGCGTCAACGCACGCGCCGTGGCCAATGTCCAGCGCATTCAGAAATGGGCCCTCCTCGAGAAGGATTTTTCCATCTCTGGGGGAGAATTTGGTAAGTCCTTTCGAGCATGGGAGCACCCGCAAAGCGGAATTACCTGGGGAAGCATCTGCAAGCGAAAACGGCAGAGAAGTTGCATTTGTTTAAGAAAGTGCTGTGCGATAGCTATAAATAATATAAAGTAATACTTTGAGCCGGCTTGGGTCCCGTAAGGGGAGAAAGGAAGCATATATGTATAATACAAGGAGAGAAAGGTGGCCTATAGATACGATGATCATCACTGTGTTCCATCAAGTGGTTTATCATTCCTTTCTTCTGGGGTTGCCCTGGGACTGTGTACAGCTGGCCCAAGGCCACCCAGGCTGGCTTTTCTGAGAAAGAGAATACACAGAAGTTATTTATCATTCCTTTCTTCTGTGGTTGCCCTGGGAATGTGCAGCTTGCCCAAGGAATCCAGGCATATCTTAAGCCATTCCTCAACTAGGACGGTGAAACCCTCCCAGATCAGACGATGACTGTCATCTTTTCCCTTTCGCCTTGCTAGAAATAATTGTCCTGCCCTCATCTGGCCATCTCTTATCTCTTCCGTTTCAGGGCCGACGATGAAACTCAAGCGTCAAGCCGTGGTGGAGAAGTACAAAGATGAAATCGACTCCTTTTACAAAAATTAACGTCAAGTGCCGACGGGACCCCTCTCCGAGCTCCGTGGGACCGAGACGACTTGGATAGGATAAGCTAGAGTAGCAATCTAGAGCAGCTGCTATGCAGTTGCACCCACCCTTTTTAAAGAGGAGCAACTGGTGCTTACTGGGTCTTCACAAGGGAACATTCCTAACGCCCAGTATGTCACTTTGGAGGGTATATTCAGCCCGTTGAAACTCCAATAGACACGGAAATCAATGTTGACCTTCATTTATAGTTTGTAGATGCTGGAAATGGGACGACCGATTTGGGATCAAGGTGAAATAGTCTTTAAATGCCCAGCAGACAGGACTCCTTCCAAGATTGGAATTTTTTTGGGGGGGGGGCATTGCCGGGTATATGTTAAAAGAAATTGTATGCAGTCTAGCAAACAGAACCACCTACTAATTTTGTATTGTCTCATAGGATGTTTAAATTGAATGGATTCAACCCTGGAGGAAATAAAACTAAGTAAATTGTAAGTGGTTTCATATTTGGTAGCAGCGGACGCTGGGCAAAAACACCGGTCAAACATACATCGACACAAAGCAGTCCTATATGATCGTTCTTGTTATTGAAAATTGGCAGCCCCTTGGGGTTTGGGTGAGGTTTCATTTCCCCGTGCCCAGTTACCCATCGTGCTTTTATGCTCAGATGGGGGAAACAGGCCTTTTCTTTTAAATTCTATGAAGGAAAAGTATAGGAATATTCATAAAACCAATGAATATGTTAAACAGTTTTGGAAATGTATATGTTTCTGGATTGGGGCCACAGGGAATTTATGTATTAATACTCCAAGGTCTATGGGGGCATCTTTCTTTATCGCTATGCTACTGCTTCAAATATTTATTTATTTAGGACATTTCTGGCCCGCCTTTCTCCTTAAGGAGGACCTAAGGCGGCTGACATCATTTTTTTCTTTTTTATTGTTTCTTTTACCTTGTGTATGGCTTTTGGACATTTCTGCCCTGCCTTTCTCCTTAAGGAGGACCCAAGGTGGCCGACATCATTCAGAGACAATACTTAATGCTGAAAAGAGGGTGTCTGCAAATACGAAAAAAGATCAGACAGATACAAGATGGTAAACAGAACAATACTTCATGCTGAAAAGAGGATGTCTGCAAATACGAAAAAGGATCAGACAGATACAAGATGGTAAACAGAACAACAGCAAAAAAACATCCAATGCGGTGAAGCACAACAGTCCACCCAGGCAGACCGTCGCGAGGGGAAAGCTGGCCTGAAGAGAAAGACCTTTGCCTGCCTGCAGAAGGACAGCAAAGACGGGGCCAGCTGGGCCTCCAGTGGTAGGGAGTTCCAGAGTCTGGCAGCTGCTACCAAGAAGACCCTCTACTTTTACTCCCCCACCAAATGCCGATACCAAGAAGGCCCTCTACTTTTACTCCCCCACCAAATGCCCTTGTGAAAATGGTGGGGCTGAGAAAAAAAAGGCCTTTCTAGATGATCTTAACTCCTGGACAGGTTCATAATATTGCTGGAAGGGAGCGGATGAGAAGACATAAGCAAAATCTATCAGGCAGGCCGGTGTGGTCCTCTACTTCTCGGAAGCGCGACCCAGAATGCTTCCACAGCAGAGCATGCACAATCTTGACTACAGCAGAGTGGGGAAGTTCCTTTGGACAGCCCCCAACATCCCCTAGCTCAGGGGAGTGTGGGAGCTGTAGTCCCAGAGGGAGCCTCCCAAACTCTGCCATAGCGATCTGAGCGAGACCCCCAACACGCCAGACGGCCGAGAGCCGCTGAGGCTGGCTTCCCAGACAAAGGACAGGACGCACAACGTCTCTGAGAGGTCTTTATTTTGATTCACATTGTGCGCAACAGGTTCTCCCCCCCCCCAGTCGTTTCGTACAATCCAAGAGATGGGGCAGACAGAAGCAGCAGCAGCATGTAAAAACACATTCAGTTCAAGGGCAAAGCACTTCCCCTAAAGTTCTCCGACAAGCCCGTACGGACAGGTGAAGAAGCTAACCTTAGGGTATGGAACCCTTTCTGGTGCATAAAGAAAGTAATGATAATAGTAATAATGAAAAAAAAAAAGTCGTTTCATACAATCCAAGAGATGGGGCAGACAGAAGCAGCAGCAGCATGTAAAAACACATTCAGTTCAAGGGCAAAGCACTTCCCCTAAAGTTCTCCGACAAGCCCGTACGGACAGGTGAAGAAGCTAACCTTAGGGTATGGAACCCTTTCTGGTGCATAAAGAAAGTAATGATAATAGTAATAATGAAAAAAAAAAAAACCAGGCAAGCTGCTCAAACCTCCTTGCTATTTTGGGCTGTCCAGACCTGGCCCGGGGAAACGGCAGAAGAAAAGCAAAGCCACCGTGCGGGGCTTATGGGGCCGAGGGAGGGGGCACAAGCCTGGCAGTTGCAACCCGAGCCCCCCCCCGCATGTCCTAAATGTGCCCCTGGATACAGACTGGGGGGTGCCCCACACTCCAAGGGGGGGAATCTGGGCAGGGCATTGAAAAAGGAGTGGCACCGCCACCCCATGCCCGTAATAGGCGAGGGAAGGAAAGCATGTCTTTCACTGCAGCCTTTGGGCCAAATCTGGATGTTCTTCTCTTTTGTTCTACTAGGGGATGGTCAGGTGACAGGTCCTTCTAAAAACCACTTATCAACCTCCCTTCCTGATCCCTCCTCCTCACAACACCAAACAGGACCCATAACACAATGTTGCGGGCTGCCAGGTCTCTGATTATACACCATTCGCTGCTGCAACGCCGTAGCTTAAATGGCCCCACCTCACATGATCTGTACGGTTCAATATCACCAGCAAGGGAGGAGACCCAGAGCTGCTTCCAGAGGCAGCTCAAGGGGACACCTCCTAGGGCCCATCAGGAACTGGCTACATAGGGTCTTCATACCAGTCTTCTATGACGGTCGTTTGCAATCCATGAATTGAGCAGCGCTTCAGAAAAATGTAGAACCAAGGTATATACTGTATATGATCTGCATCACCATGGACACAACATAAAAGGCCTCGAGATACAACAGCAATTGCAAATTATATATTTGGTATCCATTTAAACAGAAAAGCATTTGGTAGCTAGCATCATCCTTTTCCAACCTGCAGTAGATAAAAATCAATTTATATCAGTAATTTTCATAGAACAATGCTATAATAATAGATGTTGCACAGAAGAACACTGGCGTCTAACTGGATGTCTGTTTCTTTTAACAATTTTGCTTCTATCCTAAATGGAGGAATATCTTGCATTTTTTATATATACACACACAATAGCTGAAACCAATTTTGTGTTTCTAATTTTTTTTTGGCTTTTATCCATACTTCTGAAGGACAGGTTTCAGGTGCCTGAATCGGGCAAAGAGCACCTCTCTAGGGCAACTTGGCCAGTCCGTTTAACATGGGTCTTTTGCTCTAGAAAAATATATTGTGCTTTTGGCTGGCCAAAAAGACTGCTAAAACCGGCAGACCCTCCTTTGAAAGCGCCGCGATAAACAGAACGCCTCCCTTTGTCTAGAGACGTATTTAGGCATTTGCAGAGAGCGAAAGGACTCCAACGGATAGTTAGCCATTGCATGCAACGCCCACTAGAAGGGCTTCATCTTGATCAAAAGAAATGTGCACCACTTAATAAATAAAAAGGATGAGATGTTGGAAGAAGTCCACTGAAAGCAGGCACGCGAAGGAGTGCGTCCCCTTTTTTGGGGAGGTGTACTTATTTAAAAAAGAGGGCCCCAGGTTAAGAGTTTCCTTCCCTCTAGACTTTCTAGAGAAAAGGCAAACAAAATGGATATGAACCACAGAGAGCTAGCGTACGTGAGCCACCGCACCCTTTCGGAGTGACTGAAATTTGCAGGATATGAAGGGGCTTCACTCTTCATCCCTGACCCGGCGACAGATTTCTGCCGTATACTCTGAACACTTCGCGTTGCCTCCCAAATCTTTGGTCAAGACCTGGAAAAAAAAAAACGGGGGGGGAAGGGGAAGTAAAAAAAAGAACAGGTTATATTGACTTATATAGAAAAGTTGACCCCTTCAGTTTGCTGCCTGTGGCGCTGGAGGAGACTCTTCAGACTCCCCTGGACTGCAAAGAGAACAAACCTATCTGTTCCAGAAGAAATCAACCCTGAGTGCTCACTAGAAGGACAGATCCTGAAGCTGAGGCTCCAGTACTTTGGCCATCTCATGAGAAGAGAAGACTCCCTGGAAAAGACCCTGATGTTGGGGAAATGTGAAGGCAAGAGGAGAAGGGGATGACAGAGGACGAGATGGTTGGACAGGGTCATCGGAGCGACCAACATGACTTTGACCCAACACCGGGAGGCAGTGGAAGACAAGAGGGCCGGGCGTGCTCTGGTCCATGGGGTCACGAAGAGTCGGACACGACTAAACAACAACAAAGAAAAGTTGAACCGGCTTCCCCCAATTATTGAGCTCTTTCTAGGGTGTCCACATGGACAACAGAATCCCCAGCTGGTTCACTGCTGAAATAAATCCATCGCCTAACATCACACCAGGATGATTTCAAGGAATATACTTTATCTATGCACAAGGGGTCTCTACACACTTTTAAGCCCTGGTGTTTTTTTCCCTAAGGGTTCTGGGCTGTCGTGAGCCTCTGTAGTCACTGCAAGCCACCCTTTCAAGACGTTCCCCTCTGGGTGTGTTTTCCTCCTGTTTCTCCTTCACTTATATTAACCGTGTCCCGATGGCCACAACAGGCGACCAGTCACTGCTGTGTCTACGTTGGCTAGCATGGTGTGAAAACCTGTCTTATAGGAGCCACCTGTGAGCCAGCCAAGGAGATCTAATAACATTAAACGGTCTTATGCTGAGGCCAAACTCTCTGGACCCAGGAGAAGAGACCAGGGGGCTAATCCAAAACAGGCTGGGTGCTTCGGCTGCACCTGAAACAGGCCCAGTAGAAACCACCTTTGAAGATGATCAGTGTTAAGCCAAGATGGATGCAACACACCTTCCGGTCTTTGATGGTAGCAAAGCATGCATTTTCTATTTTGGAGGCATATTCCAGCATTCCCATGTGACGCAGCATCATCACGGCACTCAGGAGAAGGGCAGTCGGGTTGGCCAAGTCTTTCCCGGCAATGTCTGGAGCCGTGCCATGAACCTATCAAGAGAGAAAGAATTCGCATCATGCTCTTTTTTTCTTCTGCCGGACAAAAGAGGTTCAACGGATGGCCGACGTGAGCGGCTGCACATCTGGGGCTTTTTTGAAAGCACCACTCAAAGAGTGGGTCCACCTAAACCAGGGCACAGTTTCTTGTTTAGACGTCTACAAGGGTTAGCACTACACGGGAGAAGCCGAGACAAACAAGGCTAGTACCAGCCAGGAGCCGAGAAGGGATTCCCGCATCCCATCTCTTTGGTACACCGAAGGATGGCCAAGGCACTGCACGCTTTCCCAGGGAGAACAATGAAGAGCACCTCTTTGTTCGGATGAGTAATATGTTTAGCAATATACTGGATTATGTTTTCTCAAGGAAAGCGGCTATTTTACTATCTTAAGCTCCTTTTTTAAAAGCCTGCAAAGCAAATGAAGTCGAACAGCCTGCCCTATTCCTGAAACGGGGATAAATAATGAACGGCTGGACTGCTCAGCGGTTTACGTTTCTGGCTTTTTCGGAGCCAGAGGTTGGGTGTTCGATTCCCCCCACGGGGCCTCCTTGACCGGGGATGGACTGGATGACCCACAGGGTCCCTTCCAGCTCTGCAGGTCTAGGATTAGGATGATTACAAAAGCTGCAGGTTGCAGTAAAGCCCTGAAGCACACACACACACACACCAGAAAAGGGCCCATTTCATGATCACAGCAACGCCCTTACCGACTCAAATATTGCAACCCCATTAGCGCCGATGTTCCCACTCGGTGTGACTCCAAGACCCCCGATCAGTCCTGCGCACAAGTCACTGGAAGAACAGTATAAACACACAAGATTAGACACAATATTATTCAGGTCTCTGAACAGCCCTTTTCCCCCCCTTTAAATTCCATGTCACTGATGAGCAATTTTCATTTTTCACTCTCCCATTTCCCCTCTTTCTCTGATCTGCAGCTTCTGAAGGCTTCCAGGGTCAGTGATTCACCTTTCCAAGAACTCACACAGTTTTCGGGCACCGTTTTAACCCTCAAAATACCAGTGATGAAAAATGGAAAAGGGACTCCTAGTCACTTTAAATCGTTTTTCTTTTCTTTCATTTTTGGTGCCCTGTGGAAGTTCCGGGGGGGGGGGGCGGGAAAAGGGGCAAAG